CGGCTAACAACGACACCGCTATTGCTGTAGTTGCAGAGATTTACGACTTCTTGCTAGTCCACCGCCGCCTCCGCTGCGGTCCCCATACACTCAACCTTATTGGGCAGACGCTCCTTTGGGGTAACAATCAGCAGGCGTATGACAATGCGCCTAAGGAGCTTAGCGACGAGGTGAGGTTTATGAGAGAGTGGCGTAAAGATGGTCCCCTCGGCGTGCTGCTTGACGTTATCAACTACATTAAAACACCACAGCAGCATAAGCTTTTTATTAATTTCCAACACCGCGCAAACGCTGACTTGTCCGCTAAAGATCGTAAGATTCTTAAGGTCGTTAAGCCTGTTGTTACGCGCTAGAACTCATACTTTAGCTGCTTTGAGCGCGCAGTTACGCTGCAGTCTGTAGTTAACGCTTACTGTCAACTCTATGTTACTAACACCACTAACGCGGACGCCTACGCCGCTGCGAGCGGAAACAAAGAGCCTGACGCGCAGCGTTGGATGCGCTTAGGTGGTCTTACTGCGGCTAATTAGCAGACTGTCAACGAGTATCTCGCGATACTACGACCGCTGAAGTTAGCAACAAAGCGCCTTAAAGGTCGCGGTACCTACAAGCGATTTGGCTTACTTGCTAAGGTGATCCCTGTCTTCGAGACCATCTTATCTAGCTATGAGGAGCGCGTAGAGTCCTACAGCGGCGTTAATTACGACGAACCTAGCGCGCCAGAGGACCATATTGCTATCAACCTCCGCGCTGCTTGGGCGAAGGCAAACGAGTACTACATTAAGCTTGATGACTCCCCCACCTACTATGCTGCTACCTCTCTCTATCCAGCGTACAAACACTACTGCGACAACGCGTAGAGGGATAAACCAGAGTGGTTGGCAGCAGCGCAGTCGGCGTTCCAGGCGCTTTAGGGCACGTACAAGGACAACCCAGCGCCGCCGCCAGCGCCAGCAGCACCTCGGGCGCGTGTAAACAACGACCTCAACGACGCTATCGCGTCCATGATAGAGCCTCATTAAGGCGTTAGAGTTTCTAACGATTTAGATGAGTACACGCGCTGGAAACTTGAGCCCTAGGTCCCCTCTGTCGACAATCCAATCACTTATTGGCTCTCACGCCGCCGCGACTACCCCAACCTTACGCGCCTCGCGCTCGAAGTCCTCTCTATACCCGCCTCCAGCTGTGACTGTGAGCGTATGTTTAGTGAGCTTAGCGATCTTTTGCGGCTAAAAAGGAGGAAGATCTCGTCACAATTGCTGGTAGCAATACAGTCAGTACGCGCTTGGTTGCGGGCCGGCTTTGGTGTTGAAGGAGAGACTGCAGAGTCTCTACTTAGCGACGAGGCAATTGATGGCATGTATAACTTAGGGGATTGGCACGATAGCGAAGACTGATTTGTATGTAAAAAAGTAATCAGTTTAAATAAGTTACCTAATCAGTTCAGTTCGAGCCTTGCTAGAAGACAATTCAATCAGTTTGTTAAGATTTTTCGGCCTGCTTCTTGCAGTTCAATTCAAGCCAAGGGTTGCAAACTGACTGAACGGATTGTTGACATGTCTGTGCCCTAGGTTATCTAATAGGTTTTTGAGCCTATAGATTGCTGCCTAGTTGTCTGCGTAGATCTCAAATTCTTGATCTCTTGTAGCTAGACTCCGCAACAATCAATTCAATCCGGTCACTCTCCTAGACCCACTTACCTATCTAGGTAGGGCTTAAACTCCTATAGGTAACTACTAGGCTTAAAGCGGTAATCAATCAATCCAATCTGAACCTTCTAGGACCCACTTAATTGATTGTTGCGGACTGTGCTTGTAGCTGTCTTTGCTGCGTATTCAAAAGCTAGAGTAATACCTTCTAGTTCACCGTTGTAAACTAGCTAGTATTCCCCTATATTAGTCTTTTCTGAGTAGACCTCTTGCTGGGTTGAGTTGTAGGCTACGATGCCAACACCTATACTATTTGTCGGATGTAGGACAGGGCAGAAGAGAGGAAGAAGGTTGTTGTATTGAGAGAGCTACATAGAGCGATTATATACACAACCGAGATGAGTAAGCAGGTGACGAGGAGTCACGTGAGATACAGTTCACAGTGTACCAGGTGAACTGAGGTGCCAGGCTGACACTATTTCTATCTTTTATTTGCGAGGCGTCTGAGTAGATTGTAGTGCAGTTATCTAGCCTTGTTTTAATATAGGCCTTATGCTCAATTGCTTCCTCTTCCTTGCGTTTTTGTGAGATTGTTACTTTGTAGTTAGGCGTATCCTATGGTCTAAACTGGTATGGGATAGTCTGTTCTGTATCTCTTTTGTTGTTTTTAGGAATTGAATTAGTAATAGCTTATAGCTGTTAGTGTTGGTCTAGCTTTTTTGTTTGTTGGGGGTTTGTTAATTGTATCCAGGTTATTGCATTAGCAATCGGGTGGGTACTAGCGAGCAGGTTTGCTCTTCTTGCGTAGTTCTAGATAGTTGTGTTGAGTCTAATTGCTGGTGGCGGTAGGCTAGCTTCTATGCTTGTTGGAACGGCTGGTGCGGTTCTAAACACTCCTAGAATCTTCCGGCATGCTAGGTTATGTAGTGATTGTAGTATTGATGTGGCGTATAATTGGTTTTGCCAGTAGATTTGCGCTCCGTAGTCTGACACGCTGGTTACACATGCTAGATATAGTTGCCGGATAGCATGTGTTGATAGGCCGAGTTCAATGTTCGCTAGTCTTCCTAGTCTGTAGAAAGCTTGTCTAGCTTGGCTTGCACGTATAGACACATGTGATTTGAATGATAGACGGTTGTCTAGATAGAGTCCCACATCTTTAATATAGATGAGAAGGGCTTTATAATTAGGGTAACTAGAAGATTAAAGAGAGTCTTCGACAAGGAGATATACGATCGAGAAGGGGTTACAGCTGCTGTTCAAGACGGTTCTCGAGAGTAGGTGACAGTCCTCGCCTGTATTTGTTCAGATAGTACAGCTCTTTCTCTATCTCTTATCTTTTAGTTAGATGCCAGAGCTCTACAAGTAAGCTGGATAGACGCAATTAACCTAGAAAAGCACTTAGTCTTCGTTAGCTCATCTCCCTCTGGCTGGACGACGAACAATATAGGGCTTGCCTGGCTTAAGGAGGTGTTTGAGAGAGAGACCGGACGGTACGCTCGAACTGGGTACCGACTACTACTCCTGGATGGCCACTCATCCCACCTAACCATGGATTTTATTGAGTATTGCAACAAACACAAGATCCTATTAGCTGTGTTTCCTCCTTATTTAACCTATACGCTTCAGCCGCTTAATGTTGGGATGTTTAAGCCTCTCTCGACTAGCTACTTAACTAAGCTTTTATCCTACCTTTATAGAAGCTAGGGGCTTCTCCTAGTAGTAAAAGGAGACTTTTTGCCACTCTTTTGACGTGCCTGGAGTGCTACTTTTAAGCATTAAGCTATCAGAAAGTCCTTTAAAGCTACTAGGATACACCTATCTAACCCTAAGGTTATACTTAGACGTTTTCGCAAAGAGGAGTCTAGTTAGGTGGGTAACCACTGGCGAATCCCCGCTGTTGTATGTTTTTGCCATTTTGTATTCCACCTCTATCTCTACCTTCGGTGATAAGGCTAGCAACCCGCAGTTTTTTCACATACGACCATAGGACATCGACAATAGTGCTTCCCGTTCGCTCAGCGGTACTCAAGCGGTGTACCGGCGGATTAGTAGTCAGGTGGGTGACCACTGGCGAATCCCCGCTGTTGTATGTTTTTGATATTTTTTTTTGCCTCGGTATCTGTCCTATTCCATCTTTTGCTTGAATGCGAATGAGAAAGTTAGTATATTTGTGACAGTTATAAGGAGAAGCAGATCACGTGTTGGTGGTCTGGTGCTGCTTCCTCACTTTATTGAGCACCTCATAGATACATCATGTAAATAGACCCTGCTGCTGCTTCTAAGAGTACAGCACGAACAACACAACAAGTGTCGAGACGCGGTGAGAGCCTTCACTAGTACTCACGGTGAATCAGGCTTCCCGTGCTCTGATTGGCCAGGCACTGATTAGTCAGCTGCTCCGTGCGCGCACCATAGATATTCTCCCTTCTCCCGTAGCTCCAATACAACAAGTTCACGCACGTTTTCTCCACCTTCATCAGTTCTGGTGTTCGGCCGCGCGTTGAGCCGTCCCGCGCGTTGGGTGGTCAGCCTCGGTAAAACATGTTACTCTATCTTGACGTAGAACGAGCGATATAGGCCTTGTCAACTAGCTGTCAGCTACGTTAACAATCTACAGTCAATCGAATAGGCTGTATAGTAATTGATGAACGCAGCGATCAACTAAAGGCTTCCGGGCTCATAACCATCGCGGTATAGACCGCAAGGAAAGTAGATAGTCAGGTTGAACGACAACATAGGGCTATCTAGACGAGGGAAAACTGCGCTGAGTTGCTACCTAGCGAGAAGAGAGTATATATACATGACCTAAAACCGAAACCAACCTAACACAGACCGTCCAGCAATCATGTGTTAGTGTCGTGATCGCTCGATAACCGTAACAATTATTGTGTTCAACTTCGTTTAGTACAGTACAATACTACTTAGTTACATACAACTCTTATGCTAGCTATCGATCTCAATACCGTATTAACATAATGCTTACTCCAGTTCAGCGACAACTCACTTATGCCGCGAAAATCAACTTAAGGGCCGGACGACCCCCGAAGCATTCCTATCCTAATAATTAGTGTTTAGTGTCGCGGCATGAACCGCGAGAAGAGTAGACAGTAAGGTTAGGTAACCAACGTAAATCTACCTAGTTAAGGGAATACCGCGCTTCAATACTATCTAGTCGAAAGAACATACACATAGGCGACCTAAACCGACCTAATACACACGCGACCGTCCAGCGATTATGTGACAATGTCGTGACAGTACATTAACCGTAACAGTTAGGACCATTATCCAGCACTAACATTCCGATACAACATACACAGCACTTTTCATTCAATTATCTACCCTCTAAAACTAAGCATTTTTCTCTGCTTTCGCCTTCAAGTCGTTATGATATTTATGCTCAATAGCCAGACCAACTCCATCTGCAATGACGTGAGTGACAACTTTTACTTCCGTCTCAGCTGTCTGTGCAAAGATCCCGTGGCATATGCCTTCTGTCAGCGCTGCCTCAGCGCCCATCGATCCGATACCGAGCGTTGCCACTCCCAGAGTGCCGCTAAAGGCCATTGATCCTATCACGTCTCGCTTACGAGTTTTGTGCTGCTCCTCGTAACGAGCAAGATAGTAGTCGATAATAGCACGTTTCTTTTGAGCATTGTAGATGCCTGTCGATCCAATTATAACCCCGATTAAACTGATGCCCGCAGTGGGAAGTGCTGCAAGTCCGGATAAGGTCGTTGAAGTGGCCGAGCCAGTGATAAGGCGTGTGTAGTGATTCCATTCGCGTCTCAGCTCTTCTAGTGACATCTGGGAGCATCTTTCCTTGTATTCCGTGAAATTGAATAGCATTGCTGACGATTGAGATAGAGGTACGCTTATACAAGTCGTAAAGTGTTTGGAACTGATAGTAAAAGTAAAAGATTCGAATCTTTTCCGAAATTAATCAACGAGTTATTTTCCCACTTTATTGTAAGACGAACTCAGAGCTTAACGCTAGGCTTTGGTGGATGTCCCACCCTTCATGCGTTACAGCTGAAGCTGAGCATTAGTTATTTACTTACGTAGTACCCGTAGTGCATTATGCTACAGCCCAGTCCGAAGCAGATAACACGAAAGGAGGAGCAGTGATGGCAGAAAAAGGATACAAAGCTGAAAGAAGCCATGAACGTTAGCTGAGTATTTGAGGCTGATGTAGAGATAGTAAGTATCTTAGCCAATAGAAGAGAGGTTTAAGCGAGACCGCATGTTGAAGCAGCTACACAGCCTAACACAGCGTAATACCTAAATCGGATTCCAAGTAAGCTGATTCTGAATCTAGACTGGCCGAAGGCTGGTTGTGGTGCTCCTAGGCTCGAACGCATCTGTACGGGTAATAATGCACCTACGTCTAATAGTGTGCCTGTTGGTTGGCTTTGCACTAAGTGCGTAAAGGGAAATAACGATAACTAGGAATGCATTCTGTTTGGTGATAGTTCTGATTGATTGTGAAGGAGAACTATGGAAGAGCTAGATATAGGAGGTCTGGTCTGAGCGCTGCTCGGACGCCGCGGTCAGTGCGCCTGCTCGCGTGACCGAGATCCGTGCGGCCGATCACGTGGCTGAGATATCGTTGATATCTGTGATCCTACAGTGCCGATTTATTATAACATGTTCTCCTCCTTAAGCAAGTAGACTAATATATTAATCTGTTGGTAGGCCTTGTACGATCGTACGGGTGAATAACAACAACGAGGTTCTTCTGGTGACTGGTATTGGTATTGATCTTCTACGAACATAGCTGCTACGAAGGTACACCTAAGCTCTGCGCAAGGTGGGCCGAAGTCGGGCCGAAGTGTCAAGCAGCCGACGTCTCTACCGATACTCACGATTCGACATAATCTAAAGACTCTTTTACTAAAATACTCTTAACGTGGTTGGCAAGCGAGTCGGTCAGACAAGCGAGTCGGTCACCCCACCAACTTTTGCAACTTTAAAGCGATATATCTCAACAACACGATAATATTATTGCTAGATATTGATATAGTAGACTACTGTTAGAACAAGGTCTCCTCTGGTGGTATGACTACCATAGGCGACCGAGTAGAGGTACGAAAGGTAACCCTGTATTGGATTGAACTTCACTAAGAGCTATTCTTCTATCTACTTGTTGTTATGATGATCTTAGGACGTACATGACAGATCATCATTCCGCGTCGGTCCTTCTGCTCGGGCTTACTCCACGAACCTCACCTCGCCGACCTGGACTGAACCTAACATATTCTTAACACTCCCCCTCAGGGCAGGTCCGGTCCAAGGACAACTCCTAATTGGTTCTTGAATCTCTCGAATGCGACTCGCTGCAATGGCTTTGTCATTCCATCAGCCACCATGTCTGCAGTTGGAACGTAGGCCACATCGAGTTTGCCTTGTTCTGCTAGGTCTCGGATAAAATGATAACAGACGTCGATGTGCTTTGATCTTTCGTGAAGGTGAGGGTTCTTTGTAAGTGCAATGGCACCCTGGTTGTCTCCTAGCATCTGGACCTTGTTGGTGTCTTTTCCAATGTACTTTGGGAACCCAAGATCTCTAAACATTTGAGCAATCCACTGGCCTTGCTTGCAGCATGTTGATAGTGCGATGTATTCAGATTCGCAGCTTGACGTTGCAACAGACCGTTGCTTCTTGCTAGACCATGATATTGGACCTCCGTAGAACATTGCAGTGCTCCCTGAAACGCTCTTTCGGTCTACCATGTCGCTTGCCCAGTCAGCATCAGAGTAGATGACAAATTGCGAGTGTACTCCCCCTGGTCCGTAGCGTAGCTTCAATGTCACTGTCGACCTTAGATATCGTAGCAGGTTCTTCAACGCATGGCCATGGTGTTCTGCTGGATCGCTCATGTATTGGCTTAGCTTTCCGAGGGTGAATGCAATGTCTGGACGTGTAAGAACCATAGCAAACATAAGGCTCCCTATCACTTGCTGGTATTCAGTGATGTCGATTCGGGTGTCGTTGTCAGTGGCTGGCCTAAATGAAGTGTAATCTGCAGATGGAATCTTCTTGTCTCTGTGTTGTTTGCTAGACATTCCAAACTTGTCAAGTACTGCGTGTAGGTACTGCTCTTGATCGAGGTAGATTGTGCGGCGCTTTCTGTCTCGCGTAACTCGTACTCCAAGGATCTTATGAATCTCCCCCAGGTTCTTGGTGTTGAATCTTCCAGAAAGCTTCTCGTAGAACCAATCAATTTGAGCTCGATCTTTTGCAGCAGCAGCAATGTCATCAACGTAGACGAGGATACGGAGTTGTTTTTCTTTGTGGATAAACATGCACGGGTCTGCGAGGCTTTGTACGAATCCCCATGCCAGAAGTTCTTTCTTTATCAACAAGTTCCAGTCGCGAGCAGCCTGTTTGAGTCCGTATAAGCTGCGGAGAACTCTAAGGACGTATCCTTTTTTGACTTCTACTCCTTGGGGTTGCTTAAGAAAGATCTCTTCCTTCAAGTGCGACTCTGTGAATGCATTCTTAATGTCAAAGTGGAAACATTCCAGGTTTTCCGCTGCGACAGTGGCCATAAACAGACGTAAGGTGTCCATGCGGACTGTCGGGGCAAAAGTCTCGTTGTAGTCTGTTCCGTGTGCTTGCGTAAAACCTCTTGCCACAAGGCGTGCCTTAAACCTCTCAACAGTCCCGTCGAGATTCGTTTTGACTGTAAAAACCCACTTTGAATCAACCATGTTCGCGTCTTTTGGCTTTGGAACTTCCTCCCAGGTTCGATTCTCTATTAACGCGATTATCTCTTCAAGTATTGCTGCTTTCCATTGCTTTCCATACTTTGGGTCGTTGATAGCTTGCTCGTGTGTCTGGGGGATCTGGATTCCTGCGATCTCGGTTGCTGCGAAAGCCTTCTCAGATAGTCGTGTTTGCTCTTCTGTAAGGCCAACTTGGGCTAGCATAGCTTTAACGATCTTGCTAAATCTCTCGTCCTCAACAATCTCTTCGTTAGACCTCTTCCGTTTGGCTTGTCTAGTGAAGTATCGTGGAATCTCCTTTTCTCGTACAGACTGGGTACACGGTTCTTCGGGCCCCTCTTCGTTCACAAGATTAGGAACCCGCTCATCAGATGGTGCAGTAGGAGGAATAGTAGTTAGCCTCCTTGGTCTTCCTCTGTGACGCTTCACTGGTTCATGAGTTAGCTCTGCCGAAGATGGTTCCATTAGGTTCTCGGAAACTGGTTCTATTGGTTCTGCAGGAGATGGTTCCATTGGTTCGGTAGGAGATGGTTCCATTGGTTCTGCAGGAGATGGTTCCATTCGTTCGGTAGGAGTTGGTTCCATTCGTTCGGCAGGAGATAATTCTAGATCCTTCCTAGGTCTTCCTCTTGGTTTTCGGTCTGGCATCGTATTCTGCGTTCCTTGTGGTCCAGCTGGTATGTTTCGCAGTCGTAGTTCAACTTTCCCTCCAGGGGTGTATTCGTCCACTGACAATCGGCTTGTCCTTGAGGTGTATCCAAGCTCTGGCGAATAGAACTTGAACTGCTTATTTGTTGTCTCAGAATATCCCATAAATACTCCAATTCTGCCACGGTCCACGAGCTTGTCATGTCGTTGGTCTGCTGGAATCGTTTTAGGGTTGATGTACGAATAGCATTTGCTCCCCCATACACGGATGTGGTCAATGGATGGTTTCGTTCCTGTGAATGCCTCTTCAGGACTGACTTGCTTTCCATTGATCATAGGTCCTGTGTTTGTACGGTTGCGTAGGTATGCGTCTGCTTCGACAGCTTCATCCCAAAACTCAATTGGTAAACCAGCGTCTTTCAACATTGCTCTCATATCAGCTTCAGCAGTTTGGATGTTTCGCTCGGCTGGTCCATTCTGGTGTGAGGAAGCAATTGTTGTAGGCTGAATTTCCACGCCTTGTGTAACTCTCCATTCCTCAGCTTGCTGTAGAAGTTCTGGTGCATTGTCGGTTCCAGCAGCTTTGACTTTCTCGCCAGTTTGATGTTCTACAAAGGTCTTCCAGATTCGGAGTTCCCGTTGTGCGTCTCCCTTTTTCTTCAGCGGGATAACCCAGTTTTTCCGCGTGTAGCTATCAATAATTTGGAGGAACCACCTGTTTCCTCGTAGAGATGTTGGAAAGGGTCCAGCAATGTCAAACTGTACTAAGGCTAGCTTCGTGGCCTTGTGCTCTCTTAGCTGCTTAGGGATGCTGTTCTTCATCTTTGTCAGGGAACACACTTCGCAGATTTCAATCTTCTCTGGAACTTGAATCTTCTTCTGGAGAGTTGTAACTTCGTGGAGTTTGGCAATCTTTGTAGGTCCTAGGTGTGCGAAACGTCTGTGATACAGCAGGTATCTCTCCTTTTCATTAACCTTAAGCTCGCTCTTAACTGGTGTATGGGGTTCCGTGCCTAGGAATGCTGTCTCGTGGTATCCATCGGCAATGTGTGACACTACGTAGAGGCCGTCGTCCATAGTTGCTTTAATAATGATCTCCTTTCCTAGTTTGAAGCATAGTACGTGTGAATTGAAACGACCCTTCAGGCCTGCTGCGCAAATTCTTCTCCCTGATAACAAATTGACTCCAAGGTTAGGTACAAGCAGTACTTCTGACAACCATGTCGACGATCCGTCTTTACACACCACTTGAGCTTCTCCTTTCCAGTCTGCATATAATTCTCCCCCTCCAACCCGAACTAGTCTTCGCTTGATCTTGATCATTCGTCTAAACAATGAGGGTTGGTCAGACATGTGGGAGGAGGCGCCAGTGTCGGCAGCCCAAGTAGATGGAGAGGCCTTACCGACAATGTCTTTTGAGAGACGGCATGT